TTTGCTTTACTTTTGAGAGATTTGTTTGGATTACTATAGATCCTACACCCGGATCTGGGGCACCTTTTAGGTAAGTAGCAATAGATTGTGGAAACTGTGTGGTGTATATCGACATGGTCGAAGCAATAGCTATGTTGATGTGACACTTTGGTTGGTACCGGTAGCCCTTGAGTAGTCAAGGAGAATGCGGGGCCGCTGCATGGTGTCATGAAGCATCAACTGACCTTAGAACCTTTAATTGAACAACTTGGCCATTAGGAAGTAGTGAGATAGCCGTCTTTGGTGTAGCCCGAAGTCGGTTGATACTCGATACTACACTCATTGAGATTTGACTCCCGAGTTTTGTTTGGTGGAAAGTCAGTTGTCGATCGGAATGAAACTTGTGGAAAATATGAATGATATTGAGATCCCTTGGAACCCGGTTACTATTGATAGGACAGGTTGAGCCAACTAAACTTCAAGAGGGTACTTACCTTAAAACCCATGCAAGCCTTAAACCTAGGTCTTTGTGTGATTTGCTTGTGCTTACTATATTTGTGTTTTCTCAGCATAATCATGATATCATAACATCATAACATGGAATATCATACTAACCATTTCAAGGGTTTTTAGGGCTTATCTTTGTGTTGTTTTGTAGGACATGACATCCACTCGCAGGAATAATATCCAAATCAACTTCATAAGGGTACCTCTTCAACTCAAGGAATTAGCATCAAGGGTTCCTGAGATCTCTCCATTCACCGAAAGACATGGTCGACTTCTCAATCTGGTCACCTCAAGCCCTAATGAAGAATGTTGAAGGTGCTCTTTTAGTTCTTCGAACCTTTACATCACTGCTTCACCTTTCCTGATTACCAATTGGTGCCTACCATGGAGGAGTTTTTCCAGTTATTAGGGGTTCCCATTCTTGATCAGTTACCCTTCAATGGTATAGAAAGAGACCCAAAACCTGAAGAGATTGCTCATGCTCTGTCTTTACAACAGTCCAATGTAGTGGCAAATTGGGAAACAAGAAGAGGCGTCAAAGGGTTTCTAGCTAAGTTTCTATTTGAGAAGGCTCATAATTTTTGGGATACCTTGGATTTACAAGCTTTTGAAGAAGTGTTGGCCCTTCTCATCTATGGGATGGTACTATTTCCTAATCCGAACCAACTCATAGATGTGAATGCATTCAAGGTTTTTCTGTCTCATAATCTAGTGCCTACTTTACTTGGAGACATCCTACACTCTCTACATACCCTCACTGTAAAGAGAAGAGGGACCCTTCTGTGTTGCACTCCTCTATTGGATAGGTGGTTTATTTCGCACCTGCCTCGATCTGTGTTGAAGAATGAGTAGGGCTTGAGATAGTCTAATAGGTTGATTTCCCTCACACATTCAGACATTCATTGGTGTCCTTGATCCTTGGGGAATGTTACCATCATTGACCGCTGTGGAGAATTCCCTAATGTCCCTCTCCTAGGCTTTAGGGGAGGAATTACTTATAATCCTTGTTTTGCATTGCGACAGTTTGGATATGCTAGGAGGGATGGTCCTCATGATACACTTGTCCAAGGAATCATATTCGACTATGAGAATGATGTTCAGGGTTATCGTCAGAGGTTCATAAGAGCTTGGGGCATGGTGAACAAAGTTGATAGCAAAACACTGGGGCATAAGAACTCTATTCCTTTGGAGCCTTATCTTAAGTGGGTATGAGCCTGTGCTCAAAGTCTCAGGATGCCTTATGAGGCTATTTTACCCATCATCATGGAGCTCGTTGCTGAGGGAGACACTCCTTACATTGTTCTTCATCCTGACATGCCGACTAATTTCGAGGAGTTACAAAAATACCGGATTCAACTAAAAGAGGAACGAGATACCTTTGAAACCCAATTCTACACCAGCGAGAAGAAATTTTTAGAGCTCACCAGGCTACTTCGCAAAGAGAAGAGTATAAATGCTTACATTTCACCAAAGAGGATGCGCCCGTGGGAAGCTTGAGTCCTTTTTTGCTTTGAGAGTTCATTTTTTGCTTTATTACTTCCTTTGTAAGCCCAAGAGGCATCATTGTAACCGCTTAAACTTCTTAATGCAATTAAAGTTTGTTTTCCCTTTGGCTAAGAAAATTTAAGTCTTAGAAATCGTTGAAAACATTGCATACATATATCATACATATCATTGCATAAACAAGTTTCAGGACAGGATTCTTATCTTCTTTGTTGTTTATTTCAGTAATGGCTCTTGAACAAACAGTTAAGGAGCTTCATACACATAATGCTCAATTCTAAGATATGTTCCTGAATCTGGCTAAGGGACAAGAAGATTTGAAAGCTCTGATTCTCAAGGACAGGAAGAAGAAAAAGAGGCCAGTGGGTGTTCTGAATTTGGGAAGAAGGTTCAAAGGACCAATGAGGCAAGTTTCAGAGCTCGCAAATCCGTTAAGAGAGAGAGACAATCAGGAAGGAGAGCCAAGAGAAGAAGACCACAATACAAGGGAGTCTGGAGAGGATGAAGCTGATTTCATTGAGGAACAATACCCTCCTGCTGATGATAAGTACAAACAGCTGGAGGACCGTCTCAAGGACATGGAAGTTCAAAAGGTACCTGGCCTAGATTTTGAAGAGCTAGGATTAGTTTCTGGAGTGGTTATCCCTCAAAATTTCAAAGTGTCTGCATTTGCTAAATATGATGGGGTCTCATGTCCAAAGTTGCATCTCAGATCTTATGTTAAGAAGATCCAGCCGCACACTGCTGACAGGAATTTGTGGGAGCATTTATTTCAAGACGGTCTATCAGAGACTCAATTAGAGTGGTTCTATCAGCTGGAGGGAACCAACATCCATAACTAGGAAGATCTGACTACTGCTTTCTACAAGCAGTACCAATATAATGCTGACATCACTCCAACCCATACACAACTTCATAGTATGTCTATGGGTTCTGGCGAGGGATTTAAATATTATGCCCAGAAATCGAGAGACCTTGCGGGAAGAGTCCAACATCCATTGTCTGATAGGTAGCTGGTGGGCATGTTCTTGGGAGCATTATTCGGGCCATTCTTTAACCATCTGATTGGAAGTTCTTCTGCTGGGTTTACTGAATTGATCTTGATTGGAGAACGGGTAGAAGCTGACATTAAAAGTGGTAAAATACAGATATATGCATCCTCTAGTACTACAAAGAAACCGTTCGCAGGTGAAACAACCGGCTGAAAATCATCAAACAATGAAGTCGCCATCGAACGTCTTTTATCCCACATGTAGGGAAAGGTAAACATCGAGAAAACCTGAGAAGGGAGAAGTCACGGTCTTGCGACCGAGAGATCGGGTAAGGAAGTCTGTTACGCGAGGGGAAGGTATTAGCACCCCACACGCCCGTAGTACTCTACGGTATCCACTCTTGTTGTCTATCTTATGGGTGTGTTTAATCTATGCTTACTGTTTATTATACTACTGGAGGAATGCATGCAAAAGAAAGGGGAGAAGAATGTAGGGAAAATAAAATTGTGCTCGCCTGGGACCTACCCCAATGCCTACGTATCCTTTTTGAGGAATCAGAGCTACCGTAGTTCGGCTCATGTGTTTTTGTTTGTTTGTGTTTTTTGTGTGGACGAAGTTAATTCCGCCTTCTGCCGCAGCTCGACCTTTGGAGACTTATGCGTTGGCACAGAAGTAAATTAATCGTGTCCTTACTTGAAAAGGGTTTTAAAAAATGGTGCTCGAGCGCACAAAAGATTTGAGTTTGTTTATATTTTGTTGTAGATGTTTTTTGTGGACGAAGTTAATTCCGCCTTCTGCCGCAGCTCGACCTTTGGAGACTTATGCGTTGGCACAGAAGTAAGTTAATTGTGTCCTTACCTGAAAAGGGTTTAAAAGAAAAGGTGCTCGAGCGCACAAAAGATTTGAGTTGGTTTGTATTTTGTTGTAGGTGATGACTGATTGACCTCAAGAGAGAGATATTAGCCATTTTTCTACTTAGTCATGAAAGGAGTCTTTGAGAATTGAACCATACCTATGCTTGAGATGAAGAACAATAAGATCGAGAAGAGACCCGCTTATCATTTCCCGTATTAAGCAAAAGCATGATTCTCATCAATAGTTTTAAAGTGTTTTGAATTTTGAAAAGAAAAAGAAGTTTTAGTTTTAGGTGCGAATGTAAAAGGAGAAAGAAAAGTCAAAAAGGAGACTAGCCTACTTCTAAACCTAATGCTATTATGTATTGTTAGCCCTAAAGTTAGAATGAATGAGGGAATTCTACCTAATGTCAGCACGCATATGGTTTGCGATAAAGTACTGAAATAAAGGATAAAATAGAGTTGTGACGATACCGAACGGAGAAGGTCCGTTGCCTCTTCAAAATTGTGCAAGCGATAAGGAAATTCTATCAAAGTTCCCTTGGGCAAGTGATTGAAGAATTAACCCCGAGTATTCCACACTGCCAGAGTTATGTCGATGCTACAAAAAGTCTCGACTAGAAAATGGCAATAAAAATGATTATCGAATATGAAAAATAAAATAGAAAAAATTCTAATCTAAATTCTAAAAATAAATTCTATTCTAAAATATTTTATTATTTTGTATCATTTTATTATTGATTGAAAAAAATTAAATTAGAAGAATCAAGGGGGTACAAGCTGAATTCAGGGTGGTGCAAGCCAAATCTAGGCGCTATGGCCCAACATGACATGAGTCAAGGAGCAGTTTTTTGCTCCACTTTCAGCTTTATGCTTTCCAAAAATGCTAATGGACTTCAGTGGCACGGCCCAATCGAGTTCAATCCAACAAAAAACATCATCAACTCATGTTGTAATTAACATCATATCTGCTTTTTAATTTTTATTCACCATTTGTATTTATTGAATTAAAAATAAAAATAAAACAGTGTGACAATTAAAACTAAAAAAAAAGAAAAGATATGAAAATTGAAAAGGGAATTTTAGGGTTAGAAAAAAAGTCTCTTCCTCTCCCTCACGAACAGAACCAGTGCCGCCGGTATCTTCATCACCTCGCGTTGCCGTCTCAAGTTTGAAGCTCAAGCTCCGTTTTGTTCCTCCACTGTTGTGCCATAAACGGTGATCTCATTCCGCTCTCGTCTTTCCGATTCCCGATTCCGTCTCCGTCACGGAACGGTTCCGATTCCATCTTTCCCGATGATCTCCGCCGCGCCGTCTCAGCTTCTGTTAGAGAATGTGTCACTCCAACAATCCTGCTAGGGTACCCTATAGCTCGCGGTGTCTTCGTCACCCTAATCCCGTTTCTGAAAGGTAAATGTCTACCAATGAGAATTAGGTCATAGGCTGGAAGAGAATAATCATTCCAAGCGGTTACGTTTATGGCTTCTCGACCATCTTTGACAGCACGAGTTTCCCCACCAAGTGATTTCAATAGGTTTTCATGAATCCTTAGAGTGCGAGGATCATTGTCAACAATAAGTATTTTTACTTTTCTGCAGGGAACCGGAAGATCCTGATTATGCCGACCATCATCATCTTTAGGTGCCATTGTGGCTTTGCGCTTGTTGTCAATTTTATCTTCCATATGGATTGAGGGATATGCTTGTGAAGAAGAACGCTAGCTTGTTTCTTTGGGGACTGAAGAAAGAAAGCTATTGTGTGTTGAGCAAAGATGGATCCGATTCTTTTCCGATGATCTCCGCCGCGATTCCTTCAGGTAATGATCTCTTTTCTTCTCCTCGTTCTAATTCTGTTTCTTGTTACAGTCTGATGTCGGCGGATTCATCCGTGTTGTTTGTGTTTGCTTTGATGAAGATTATGCGTGAGACGTTGAACAGAGACGATAAGAGTGCAGCATATGCGTTTGCAGCATTGTAGAAACGATGATTGTTGAAGATGAAAAAAGGAGAAATGATATTGATGATAGGAATTGCATAGAATCTTTGAGACAAAGATGATGAAGATTCCAGGAGGAAATGCCGAGAGAGATGAAGATTTATGGAGATCCTTCAGAGAGTTTTAAGGCGGGTATCTTAATTTTCTATGACTTTTTCTGTCTTCTTCTTCTTGCTGGATGCTGATTCTGATTGTTGTTGTTATTCTTGATGCAGGAACCGTGATGGTGATGTTGCGAAGTAGTTGAAAAACACAGAGTGAGTGAATGTAGATGATGAAGCTTGATATGCCGGTTAAGGGTTCCGTCGGAGAATTGATGCCAATGGGAGATTTTCGAAGTTGAAGATTGAAAGCGATTTTGGCGATCGATCAAGGTTCTTGGAGAATGATGCGGCCGGTTGAAGAAGAAAGAGATTGCCGGTTTTCTTGGTGAGTTTGTTCTATATCTAATCTTTCTGACTTTTCTCTGTGTTTGTAAAATAAAGAATAAATCTCAAAACTTAATCCCCTCTGCCCTGCCCTTTTGATCTATTTGTGTTCTCCCTCTTTGCTGGAAGTTTTGTTATTTATAGTTAGGCGGTTGGTTAACAAAAATTCTGTTAGGAAGTTAGGATGCAGTTTGTTATGCAGTTAGAAGTGGTTAGAAGGTTTGAGAGTTTGTTATGAATTGGTTACTGAATGTTAGGTATGTTGTAACTGTTTTTGGGTTTGTTAAGTTGATTGAGATATGGTTTTGGATAGGAAGTTTGTTAGGAAATGTTTTATGAAAAAAATTCTGTTTTTGCCTTTCATTATGCAGGTCCTTTTTGTTAAGCTGGGATTCAATTACAGGGTGGTTTTGAAAATGGTTGGGAGGTTTAGAAATTGTTAAATGGTTGTTTGACAGTTGGTTATGGTTTTGAAAACTGTTAGAGATTGGTTAAGGGTTGTTGGGAAAAATGGAAAGTTGGAATTGGTTAATTTCGGTTAGGAGTTGGTTTGTTGTTTTCTGTTGCAGTAAGTTACTTTGCTATAAAATTTATGTGCAGGGCTGCCTTTAGAGAATGGTTAGGGAATTGGTTTTGACAATTGGAAGTGTAGTGTATGTGGTTCATGCTTATGACAATTTATCCAATATTTTTGCAGGTTTGGTTTATATCAGGGCTATTGGGAAGCAAAGGCAAAAGGAAAACACCAAGATGATATGAAGTTGGAACAAAGACGCATAACACGAAGTTTTGGAAGCTTGAAGTTTGAAACATGAAGAATGGTTAAAAATTAGGATAGGTTTTGGTAAAAATGTATAGATGTTATGTATAATTGTAATGGAATTCGGACTTGTATGTATTTGAATACACATTGGAATGTATGTTGACTTTATTTCCTCATAATGAAATGGCCTTTGTATGAATTCAAATAAATGGTATGAATCCAAAATATTTGCAAGGTAACCAAAAGAGACATGAATCTTGAATGAATCCAAGAGAAGCTATTTGGATAATATTTTGATGGTTGGATGAATTTGATGCATGCTTTTTCATACTTGTGGTTTGAATTCCAAGAAAAGCCACGCAAATATTTAAGAACTTTGATTTTCTCCAAATCCACTTTAATTATTAATGAATGAATCTTAATCAAACTACAGCTTCAGTGAATCCCTAATTCAATTCAATTCCTCAGTATAAACCAAACTTGTGTGTCAAGCAATAAGCATTTGAAATAATGACACCTTGATCACAATCAACATCTTGTACCATGTCCCGACTATATGAGCACTAGAATAACGACGTCTTGGACCCCTTCTCAATAGATGATAATGACTATGCCCTGAGGGATTCCTTGCAGATGAATATGAAAGATGAGACATGCGAATACCTTGATATGGAATGAACCTCAGGTAGAATGCTGACAAGCTCAAATATGAAAATGTATAAACCCTGATTTTTAGCTTCGTCTCATAAAACCTTGCAACTTAACATTGAGAAGAAAAGAATAGCCCCGTAGCTTGATGATGATAAGGTCCATGAAATGAAAACCTAGCTTCAAACAAATTATTAATGGAGAAATCAACCGAAACAAGCTTGTGCGAAGATGGGAGCCTTAAAGCCATACACCAACCCTTATTCCTCGAAATCCATGATCTTATGCCAATTTATCAATTAATGATGCATGATGTGTTAGACGACCTAATGTGAGAAAAATGCAAAAATGCGTAAGCCAGATAGGAAGTAAAAGGGTAGGACAAATTTGGGGTATTACAGCAGGAAAGAAGGAGGTCAGTGCTGCTTATGGCCAAAGAAATCTTAACAACACTGAGCGTCGTCCGACGGTAGGGGCTGTTATGATTTCCAATCCTGCATCACACCAGCAATAGAATAATCAGTCCAAAACAGATAAGCCTAGAAGATAGTTTACCCAAATTAATATGACCTTGTCTCAAGTTTTGCCACATTTGCTGAAATCCAATCTAGTTACCCTGAGGGAGGCTCCTAAAAATCCCAACACTACATCTCCTCACTACAATTCAAATTCTCGGTGTTCTTACCATTCTGAAAATTCAGGCCATGATACAAACGACTGTTGGGCTTTAAAAACAAGGTGCAGGATTTGATTGAGGCAAAGGAGATTGAATTTGATGCTCCTGAGACCCCTAATGTTATAACTACCCCTATGCCCAAGCACGACCGTGGTGTTAATGATATTGATGATGACATGTTTGTTACTTCTGTTGATGAACTAACTACTCCCCTCCTGACTATTAAAAGGAATCTCTTGCAGGACGGTTTATTTTCGGGTTATGGTGAAGGTTGCCACTTATGTTTGTCCCTACCTAATGGTTGCCATTTGTTGAAGGAAGGAGTTCAGCGCTTGATGGATGATAAAGAAATTTTGTTTGAGAAGACTCCAGTTACAAGTGCTTTGTGTGAAGATGTTTCTATCATTACCATTTCCGCCAATCCTCCCAAGGTCTCCTCCAAAAGACCTGTCAGGATTACATCTGTTCTGAAAGTTGCTCCGTTGATAATTACTTTTCCTGGACCTATGCCATATTCCTCGGATAAAGTTATTCCTTGGAATTATGGGGCTGACATCTATTACCATGGCATCAAGCAAGAGTTACTGGTTGTTAAAGACAAAGATGCTGAAGACTCTGATCCTGACACTAGTAACATTGTCGGGACCAGCAAAATCACCAGAAGAGGAAGGATTTTCTCTCCCGAGATCTCTCCTTTTAAAACTATTGATACTCCTGTGATCATCCTTGTTGCTCCTGTCAATATTCCTATAGCTACTCCTTCTGTTAGTCCTACTGTTATCCCTGTTACCGGGTCGATCGAGACTCTGGGAAAAGAGGTATTGGTTGAGCCTTTCTGAATGAAGTCACATCCAGAAGCCATTCCCGAGGCTTCTAAAAAGGAGATGGAAGAGATATTGAAAATAATCAAGAAAATTGATTAAAATTTCGTAGAACAATTGGGGAAGACCCCTTCAAAAATCTCAATGTTGGCCCTACTACTGTGCTTTGAATCCCATGCCAAGGCTTTAGTAAAATTCCCGAAGTCTGCCCACATGCCTCAAGAGACCTCCGTTGATCAATTCGAGAATTATGTGGCTAGTTTGACAGCTGACAATGGCCTGGGATTCTTTGATATATACCTAACTCCCAAGGGAAGTGTTGTACCCCAAAATTTGCCCTCCCATATTCCTCAAGATTTGACAAGAATAATTCTCAAGATTACTCAAAAGGGTAGACAATCAAACCACCTCCTAAGCCAGCTGAAATTAGGGTTTTGGTTCTTTCAAGGAATTTGAGGTTTTCAATGTTCAATCAAGTCTCATAGGCCTATATACATTCTCAAGCATCTACATGACAAGTCTCAAGACTCACAGTGTCAATTTGCACAGTCAAAGGCTTCATTTGACCTACAGTCAACTGCAGGGGCAAAATGGTCATTTTGCAGTCAAAAGTCGGAATTTTTGGTCAACATCTTATTTTGAGTGCACAATCATCATTTGATCAAGTCTTGATCATGATTCTACAAGAATGGCTCAAAAATCATCAAGATGCAAAAAGTTACTATTTTTGGACAGTAGAAAAGTCAACTGTATCTTGACCAGGGCATAACTTTTTCATGGTTCATCAGAAAAATCCCATCCAATTCCCATTTTGAAGGGGATGACATTTCCTACAATCCATCTTCACACTCCAAGTCTAAGAAATGCTCTCACAAAAAGTTATCAATTTTGACATTATAGGTCCTTTTCAAAAGTCAACAAAAATGCACTTTAAGTCAAAGGCCATAACTTGAGATTGGTAAATCCAAATGACATGGGACCAAAGGCATTGGTTAGAGGACTTCAAGACCTTTCCAAAATGTCCAAGAACATGTTCATATGATCAAAATTGAGCAAGATATGCATTGGAGAAGTTGGGAAATTTTTGTGAATTTGCAAAAGTCAACTTTGCTCCAAACACCTTATTTTTGCTAATGGGCCTCAAATTTCTTGTTAAAACTTCATCCAAGGCCTATGCACGACCCATCAAGCTTAATTGAATTTATTTTCTTATTTTTATTAATTAATTGGATTTTTAATCAATATTAATTCATTTAATTAATTTAAATTGTAGGAAAATACAAAGATTTGTTTTTTCAATCTTTTTGTGAAGCAAAC